GGGAGAAAAGCGGCGAGCGGAGGGGGGAGCCCCGGCCCCGGGCTCCCTAGGAGCCAGGGACTAAGTGTGAGGGTGTGAGGTTCCCACCCCCACCCCCTTTCTGCAGCCGCTCCCTCCCCCGCGACGCCGCCACCCTCTGCAGCTCACCCGCCGGGAGCTTGTTGCGTCTTGCTCCTGGGGCGTAATTGCGCCGCTCTCCAGGGCGCAGGGAACCCTGATTTACATATTTCTCTGCCCAGCACGTTCGCCGCGGAGTAACTTGGCTCCCTTCGGTTCTGACCCCGGGGGCGCGAGTGCTGGCCCCGGAAAAACCCACGCCAACCCCTCCCGAAGCGCTCACCCTGGACAGGGCCTCGGTGCCCACCCGGCCTTCTCCCCTCCTCTCGGGTTTCCCTCTCTGCTCCAGTGTCTCCTTCTCCTTCCTTGGTCTCTCTTCAGTTGTCTCCCTTCTCTCCTGTCCTCTCTTCTCTCCCTCTCCCCTCCTTCCTCTCACGTTCCTTGTCTCCTTTCTTCTGTCTCTCTCTGCCCCTTCATCCTCTCCCCTCCTTTCCCCTAAGCTGTGCGTCACTGTCTCTGTCTCTCCCTGTTGCCTTTCTGCCTTCTCTCTCAGTACTAAAGCGAGGAGGCGCTCAGCCAGTGGAGATGCCTCGAGGCCCCAGCCTCTCTAGAAGCTGGGGGGGTCTGATGAACAAAAGGATCTGGAGACCTGCTCTCTCGGTGTCTGGCCTTGAGCTTGCCCCCGCGGGGGACAAACCCCTGGCGCTTCTGCCCTCACTTCTGCTTGCAGGCCTGGCCTGGGACCAGTCCGACTTACACCCAGACTCTTCATGGCGTCGGAGCCCCACCAAGGCCTGCGCATCCACACCCGGCTTCCCCAAGGCTCTTCTGGCGCCCTTGGGTCGGCATGGTCACTGCGGGCCCCCGGGGAGATAAGGTGCCTCTCCGAGGGCTCTCAGAGGCCCCTGCATCCCCACTCGAGCCCCTCTGTGTCACCTGGCTCTGAGGCGGACTCTTCGGGAGTGGGCCCCGTCCTCTCGCCCCAAGGCCTCACTCTCCTCCGAGGCTGCCGCGACCCTCTCCTAGCCCACGGGTCCAGGTGAAGCCTGGGCTCCCACCTCCGAGAGGACAGGCGCTTTTCAAAGGTAAACCAGTCTCTCCCCAAACCCAAATCCCAGAACCGAGGGCAAGAGGCTGCCCCTCTCCCCAGGATTCCTCTGCCCAGGCAATCCCAGCACTGGGGCCTGGGCCTCAGTCCTGTGCCAAGGGCCGGCGGCGCCGGCTGGGTTGCTGGATCCCTCCCCGGCCGGGCTGCCGCAGTGCCGGTGCTGTGCTCTCTGCCCACCGCGCGGACAGACAGAGAAAAGGCGGGTGGTCTGAGCTAATATCTATTTTCTGGCTGATGTCCCCCCCTTCCTCTTTTTCTCCTCCCTCCCTTTCTCCCTTCCTCTCTCCTTCCTCCGCCCCTTCCCACGTCTACTTCCCTCCCCCAACACTGCGCAAACAGGTCGGTGGCGACTGGAGGGCACCGAGCCTCCCCCTACTCAGACCTGCCCATCTTGTGTGCCCCCCTCCTCGCAGCTGGCACCCCCGCCCTGATTCCAGCTGCCACTTTCTTCTTCAGCCCAGACCCCCGGCACACTTATCTGCCGCCCCATCTCCATCCAAAGCCCAAGCCTCCCCCTTTCGGGCTCGTGGTCGACGCCCCAGAATCTCTCTCCTAAAATGGCTCCCCGGACGCTGCACACTGGCCTTGCGGTCGCTCAGGACCCAGGGCAGCGGCGGGGGCTCCAAGCCGGGGCTTTATGTATCTGGAGGTGCGCAAAATTCTCAAACCTTCTCTCTCCTGGCAGCACCGGGTGGCGCATAAGCAACCCACCGCCCCTAAAGTGGAGCCTGCAGACCGCCGAAGAGGGAAATGGTGAGGACGAACCATTCAAGTTCAACGACATGGCGATGGCGGCTCCGGCGGGAGCCGCGCTTTGGCGGGGGAGGGTGAGCCATCTGCAGCGGCGCTCCGGTGCATAGGAAAAGGGGGTGGTGGGCACCTCTCGGCTCGTTAGCGCGGACCCTGGCCCCCCCCCACAACCCAGAGCTTTCGTTCCCGTCTCAGTCCGCTTTGCTTTGGGGCCCCAGATCCCGCCTTGGTCCTCCACTTACCCCCCAACCCAGGGAAAACCGCAGCCTCCGGATCCGCGCGTCCCGCTCGAGAACCTACCGTGAAGACTCCGGCGCTGAGGCCCTGTCCTTGCCTGTGCGACCCCACCCGAATCGCAGGGAGTGCACCAGGCCTTCGGGGCGCAGCCAGCAACTCGACAAACAAGAGCCTTCCGCACAGCGCCGGGACGCGATGCGGTAATTTTGAGCCACCCAAGATAAGACACTAACTTGACCTTAACTTTGTCAGGGCGCCCCTGGTATCTGGAGAACGTGAACAGACACTGTCTGGCAGCTCTCGTAAAAGCTGACTGGGGAAGGGATTCTGAGTCATTTCATTTATTGCCACTACAGTTCTGCAAGAAAGCTTTTCCTCCCGGCCAAACTTTAATTATTTATGCTCTTTTAGGAAACGAAAGAAGAGAAACGCGGGGAAAACACCCAGTGCTAGTCCCTTCCCTACAGAGCCTTCGGAATGGAATCCTTAAGGCTGAAGAACAAAAATGTGGGGAGATCACCTTTGTCCAAGGACAGTCGGACAGGCGCCGTGCCCTCCCCCACCACCGCTGGGGGGTGTGTGTGTGAATGCAGCTGAGGGAGAGGCGTGTGAAGGGGCGCACCCCCTCACACATGAATATTTACAACGATTCCGGATTTCTCCTCCACCCGCCGGCATCCCGGAAGCCTCCCCAACCCGCCTCCCTTGGGGAGGACCCCCGGGCCTTAAAAAGCGTCCCCTGGTCGCCCTCTGAGTTCGCACTGATTGAATGCCAGACGAAGTCTTTTTTTCTTTTCTCTCTCGTTTTAAAACCTTTTTCTTAGTCAAGAGGCCCGCGTGTACTGCGGCATTTTGGAGGATGCATTTGTCTTTCTGCAGGGAACATTGAGCACTCCGATTTTAGCGTCAATTCTCCTCAGCATTTCTTTCCTACAAATTTCCTCGTGGTTGCGAATTTCTGCTGGGACCTTAGCTGGAAGAGGAGACACCGCCGTCTTTGTATTTGTGTGAACCAGTAAAGAGGATAGAAAATACTGCTGAACAGATGAGACTTTGCACCTAGAATAATTTAATTTTATTTGGGGAGTGGTCTCCACGAATATCCCTTCCCCCTACTTATCCCAGGCTAAAGGAAAAGACCCTGGTGGTTTAAGGTATATTTTGGAAAGAAACAGCCTCTGTATGTTGTCTTAGGGCCTGGGTCTTCTGAGTAAATCTGGTTTCCTTGTCCTCTCCCCAGCCCTGCAGACCCGAGGTCTCATTGCGGCTTCCGCCTTTGTTCGCTTGTTTTCAAGGAGGCAAACGTCTGAATGCAGACTCAGACTCCGAGATCCTGCTCTGGGTATCACCGCCTCCATGCACCCAGCCAGGTGGGGAAACATTCCTAAGCCATGGGGCCTTCACGGCCTCGCACTTCTTTCTTTCCCATTGAATATATATATTTTAAGAGAACGATTAAAAATTTCAACACACACCAAATTTGCTTCAAGGAAGGGGAGTTGAAATGTCGAATACTTGGTATTAGAAAAAATTTAGTGATCTTGCCAGTTCTTCCTCTAGCTGAAAGCTAATTGCTATCTCCACCCAGCTAGGAGCTGGGATTTGCAAGAAAATAGGTACCAGGCAGACCCTGGGCTTTCTGGACTGAGCTAGAGGCACGAGGCCTGGGGGGTGTTGAGGCCCCATTTCCCAAGGGAGCCTGTTGGGTCCTGGCAGATATGCCAGCATCAAGGATTTTTCCTGGGGCATAGCCAGTTCCAGAGAAGCCCCACCAAACTTGGCGGAGACAGATGTCTTGTTTTGAAATCTGAGGAACCTCAAATCTTGGCAGCCCCTCTGATAACAGCAACCATTAAAGTTTGAGAATTTTGGCAAAGTGCAAAAGCCCCAGCCTCCAATAAGCTGAGAGTCCTCTTAGTGTGTGAGACACACTCAAATCTGCCCATGATCCTCTCCCTTCAGATATTTCATATGTATCTTGTTCATAGGCTTTTATACACCATTTCCTGACTGCCTCGGAGGCCATTTTCTCATTTAATGAACAGTCAACACCCGCAGTGAAGCGGCAACCAGAAAATAAAAATGAATTTGGTGGCCTAAAAACCATCAGGAGGGAATTTGAAACATTTGTAAAAATTGACATCAGCTCCCTGAAAGCTTGGCTGGGACCTGGATATTTATTTTCACTCAAAACAGTTCTATATATTGTGTCTGATATATACAAGCTATTGTTTTTGACAAAAAAATCAAAACAAAACATGCACAATAACTATTAGAGACAATGAAATTAGGCTAAACATCAACTGAGGTCAGTTGGGCTAAGATTCAAGGCTTCCTGTGAGGTGTCTGCTGCAGGTTTAGGCCCTGGTCCTCTGAAAAGACTAAAAAGAAATCACTGGACTCTGGAAAAGAGCCCTGATGTGCATCTCACTCGGAGTTGGGGTGGTAGTGAGTGTGTTACGTTTCAGGAGGGAAAGGAGGCTGGGTCAGTAGGGAGAGCTTGGGGCGGGGGGAGCTTGA